GAATTCATCTTCTCCAATGATATAATTTAATTGATAATTTTTATTTCCATCAGTTCTACACACACCAAAGAGATGTACATTAAAAGGAGACTTAAAATAAATTGATCCAGTTTGTCGAGGAGAATAAGGAGCCACAACACTTTGTGCCCAATCATAACAAATGTGATTTATTGAAAAATCAGTATTATCTTTTGTAATAATATTGTTATAATGTTCTCTTTCATGCATTGCAATTTTTTTATGCTTTCATATTCAAAATTAATGTTTGCAATTTCATCTTTATCTTTTGTTGACCTCAATTTTGTATCAAATCCATACATGTATCACAGAGATCACTTGCATGATTTAGGAATTTGATTTCTGGTGTTAGCTGTTGCCACAGTTTACAAAAAGTCTGTAGTGCTATAATTGGCATAGGTCTAAAGTTTAAATTTGAATTTACCAAATGTAAATTTTTTTTATATTCTTCATACACATTTTTATGTGTAATTTCAGTTGGCAAATAAATAAATGGTCCTGGATCATCATCTCTAAACTTCATTGGAGATGGAAGACCATATATTTTTGCATATTGCAAGACAAATTCCTTAAAGGTATTTGCTACTTTAGCATTAATTAATGAGCATGAGTTGATTTTAGGAATTCTTTTTGTATTGCCATGAATACAACTTTCCAGACCATTTGTTTTTAAATGTGCTTGCAATGTATCTAAGAGTGTTCTATCAATATTATTTAGTTTCAAAAACATTTTTTGACAAATAGGTATTGATGAATTATATTTATAATTATAATGTGATTTAGTTGAATTTTCATTTACTAATTCAAATGTCATTAATTGTGTTTTAATACAAAGGTCCTTCATATCTTTTTCTAATCCTTTCAATTCCATGTATCTTTCAAAAAAATTTTTAAACCCAATTTTTTCAAAACAAATTTCATTTTCATTTCGACATCTACAGTTTGATCTGTTTCCAAAAAATAATTTTAGTTCATGAACATTTTTCTGTACCAAAGTATTTGATTCATATTCCTCTAATCCTAATTCAGCTAAATTGTATTGTATCAAATTACTTTCTTCAAATGATTCATTTTCATTTTCAGATGCTTCAATAATTTCTTCCATTAAATCAGACATTTTAAATTATAAAATATTAATTTTTGCAAAATTATTTTATGAATTATTTGTATGTAAAATTACTTGTAAATTGTATGTGTGCATCAAAAATTATATACATGAATTATATATGCATTTAAAATTGTTCACAATTTAAAGAAAAATATACAAAACAATTCATTAACAAAGATTAACAAAGATTATTTTGTGTTTACAAATAATACTGTGCATTAATATATGAATACATAGATTAAAATTTATTTATTAAAAATTCCATTTTTTTCTCTTCCAACATTTATTAAATCATCTTTGTATGTGTTCTTTACTTATTCATCTTTGTATAGTTGTCTTTGTCCATAATTAATATGCAACACAAAAATCATAATACCGGGGGTACTTTCGTGTAACAAAATTTAAGGGTAGGGGGATCACGTGTTAATTTAATAGTAAATCATGGCTCAATTTTTTTTGCCTGCCGGGTACAATGTTGATCAATATTTTTAT